TCTATAACTTTATATCAAATTCTAATTAATTTTTAATAGTTGCTGATTTATATATCTTATTAATTTTATTATATAATCAAAGATCAATTCATTTTTTAGTTTGGTTTGATCTTAAAAAAAGATCAGATTTTTTAAACTGGAACCAGACTTAATTGGACTAGTTTATTTTTAATTATTATATATAAGATTTATAATAAAAAATTTGTCACATAATACAATATTTGCTAATTAAGATGTTCTGTACTGTATTAAAAAAGTAAACAAATATTAATTAATTTAACAATAAAAAACTCATATTATAATTTGGTGTTTTATTATAAATAGTATATTATTATAAATAGAATAATTAATACAGAAATATTTATAATTTTCTAAAAAAAGCTTTTAAAATAATTTGATTGATTAACTTTAATATAATATTTTTAAAATTAAATTTTTAACTAACTTTTAAAATAAATATATTTAAATATTTATTTTCAAAATATTAACTGATTTTTTAAAATTAGTTCTTTAAAATTTTTAAGTTTTTAACCAATTAAATTTTTAAAATGATAATTTCTTCTGAATATATTACATTGTTGTTTTTTATAATAAAAGGAAATATCAGAAAATTTTTTAAAAAGTTAAATATTAATAATATATCTTCAGGATAAATATTGATAATAATTAAACTTGTCATTGCATATTAATAAACTAAAAAGATTAATTACCAATAATTATTACAGGATAATAATTATTTTTTTTGGAATAAATTATACAATAATTAGAATAGATATTACAGTAATAAAAAGTGATAATTTGAAAATATTATATAAAAGTTCTTATTAATTATAATATTCTGTGATATATAATATATTTAGAAAACTAATTCACAAATTATCAGAATTTTTTTTAGTTTAATATCTATTTTTTATATAATTATTAACTTATTACATATTGTTATCATTGTGATATATTATATATTATTTTGATATGCTAGAATAAAAGATCAATTAGGTAAGCATAATGTTATTACTATAAGAAGCTCAATATTAATAATATTTCTCTTATATGATAATGATATTTGACAAAGAACAATTATTAAAAATTTATTAAGATATTTTAATTGGTTCTTTATTATAAATTAGATTATATACTTAATATAAATCATTTTATTAAGATTTAACATGTGTTTTATTTCTATATTTTAATTAATTCTTCTTATTTATTTAATTTTCTTTGTGTTATATTGGTATTATCTTGTGTTATATTAAGTTTATTTCATGTTTAATTAGTTTTATTGTGTAATAGAAAGGAGTACCAATAGTATTTTAGTATTTTAACATGTATTGGTACTAGATTTAAATATATAATAATTAGCAAATTAGAGTAACATTATGTATTACTCATAATATATGAGAATAAATTAATCCTTTTGAGATAAAAATAGATATATAAACAACATATATCTTAGCTTAGAATCATCATCAAATCACCAAGTTATTAATATATTTTTTAATAATATCAAATAAAAATTAGTTGTGACTTATATTATTTTGGTCTTTTAATTATATCATTTTAACAAGAAATTATTATTCATATTATTATAAATTTGTTTACTAATCATTAAATTAGCTTATAAACTTGAACCTGAGTTAAAAAAGAATGATAAACTGATAAAAATATTAAAAAAAGAGAAAGAATATCAAAAATCTATATCAATTTCTACAGAAATTGTATTTATTTAAAAGAAGATATATTATAGGAGAGTTATGGAAGAGTAAAGATCAAAGAGAAACAAGAATATAAAAGAATAATAAAGAAAATATAAAAGAGTGATTCTCTATATTTGCGTAAAGCTTTCTAAAGCTAAAATAATAATTAGTAATAACAATAACAAAGATTCTTTCACTTTGTTTTTATTATAAATGAGGAATATTCATTAATAATTGTGACAGATTAAAATGAAACCAGATTAAAATGAAACCAGATTATAATAAAATCAAATCAAAATAAAATTTGGATCTATTTTTATGGAATAAAAATTTCAGAGAAGGGTTAGGGTTAGGTTAGAGCATAGGGTATAGCATTAAAATCTGTAGTAAATTGACCTATGATTATTTAAACATCACACTCTGTTTCATTTTAATCTGGTTTCATTTTAATCCGCCACAATAATTACTTATAAAGAGATTTTAAACTCTAAAAGAGTTTTTGAAATTCATAGAGAAAGCATCAAAATATTACACATTTTTTATTAATTGTAAAATTAGCTAATAAATATAAATTTAATTTAGAAAAGAAATTAAATAAATAAATAAAATATATCTAAGTTTTGTACTTATATTTACTAATATAATATAAAATATTAAATTAAAAAAATTAAATAATTAAAGAAATAATAATAAAAATAAAGTATATAAGAGAAATAAAGAAAAAGTTAGGTAAATATATATTTAAAAGAGAAATTATAAAAGAAGGAAATAATATTAATATTTTTATATTTATATTATTATTTTCTAGTTATTTAATATTATTATAATAAAATAAAATTATAAAATAAAATTATAACAAAGGTAAAACATAACAAAATAATACAAAATCAATATAAAACAAAATAAAATAACAAAATAATTATTATGAATTGTTTATCAAAACTAAAGTAATAAAAAATCTGCTAATAAAATTATTAATGAGTATGAATTGTTAAATAAACAAAAAAGAGAATTAAGAAATCTATTTTGTAATGAAAAAAGAAACAAGAATAAATAATTTATCTATATTTTGTCAGCTATTATTTAAATTTTGTTAATGAGAGGTATATTATAAAATACTTTATTTATTAATTTAGAATAAGAAATTATTTCTATTTATATATTTTAAATATTAAAAAGATAAAAATAACTTATGTTATAGATCTATCAAGTTTAATAGAAAATTCCATGAAACTTTTATAAAAATCCCACAAAATTTTTATGAAAATTAGTTGAAAATAATGGTATAGTAAAGTTAAAAATATTTATAATCTAATAATAATAATAAATATAATATTAAAAATAATTAAAAATAGAATAAAAAATAAAGTAAATTATAATAATAAGCAAAATAAAAAAAATTTACATAAAATTTTAAAATTATAAAATTAAAAAAAAATTGTTACTATTATAATAATATTTTATTATTTAATGATTAGAATTGAGCAATTTTTATATTATTTAATTCATTTTAATAAGATAAATCAAATAATATAAAAATTACTCAATTATAATTACTGTATTATAAAATATTCTCAATTAATTATAATATTCATAGTGCTAAAAATATTGAATTTTTAAGTGTTTTTGTTAAAAATAGGATTGCAATTGGTTGCAACTTGATTACAATTTTCTGATTGATTGTTACAATTCTCTGATTAAATACTACAAGTTGTAATTAATTAAGATATTATCTTTAGTTTTTGTACAAATTATAAAATAATATGTTTTTTTTGTTAAATAATTGAGCTTTTTTGAAAAATTTCATTAATTATTACTTTTAATATCTATATCTATCTTATAAATTTAATTATAAAATTAAAAATTGAAAATTATAAATTATATTAATAATATAAAATATTAAAAAAAATAAAAATTTATTAATTTGAATTAAAATTTAAAATAAAATGAAAATAAAATTATTTTAATTCAAATTTTACAAGAAATATTTTTTGTTAATATACAAAAAGCAATTTTATAAACAGAATTTTAAAATACAAATCATTTTTCAAAAACTTGTTTTTGTTTATTTCGAATTTTTTTTATTAATTTTATGATTTGATGATTAATTTAATATTGCTATTTAGCACTAATAATATAATTAAGTAATATTATTATTTGTAAAAATAATCAATTAATAAAAATTTTATTATAATAAAATTAATATTTATTTATAAAATTTTAATAACTCTTAAATTATTTAGCATACAAAATTAAATACTAAAATATTTTGTCTTACATTTTTGCTTGCATTTATAATTTATAATTTTTTTATTTTAAAAATCAAAATTTTACAAAAATTATTTCTGTTTTAATTATTGTTAGCATAAGTATTTTTTATTATAATAGGACAATTTAAAAGATAAATTATTTCTTAAACTATCTAGCAGACAAATTTGTTTACTAAAAATTTTTTGACTAATTTATATCTAATTTTTATAAGTTTAATACCTTCTTTTTAACTAAAATAAAAATATAGTCTATTTTTAATTAATATAATCTAAATTTGTAATTTTATTTATAAATCACTCAAAATATTTAATTTATTTTGTAATCATTCTGTAATTTATTATGAATTTTTTTTAAAATAATAATAAAAATTTTTTAAAATTGCTTCTTTTTAACTCAATAAACAATTATATTTTTTTTATATTGTTAAAAAAGTAAAAATAATTATTATATTATATATAATTAAAGTTAATATTAAATGACTTTTTTTAAATATTTTAATATTTGATAAAAATATATTTAGATATAAATTTATAATATTTTAGCAAGCAAATTTGCTTGCTAAACTGAATGATTTAAGTGATAATAATTTTAACTGGAATTATTATAATTTTGGCTGGAATTAGCATAATTTTGATCAAAATTATTATAATTCAGATTATAATGCTAATTAGTATAAAATCTTTATAATCACATCTTTTTATAGTTATTTAATTTGGCTTTTTCAACAGTAATAACTATAAAGAGATTTGATTGTATATTTCAAGTTCACATTTATAAATAATATTTTATTGAAATATATTATGATACAATTAAACTTAAAGCACAATTTACATGATTTATTAATTTTATACATTTATAAATAATAGTTTTACTGGAAGCTCAGTCATTATAATAAATATCAAATTTGATTTCTCATTCTCATTTTGATTTTGATTTTGAAAAGAAATAATATACATCAAGGATGTGTGTGTTGCAAATTTTATACTAAAAATAATAGCAATTGCTATTTCCTAATACTATAGAACAACAAAATATTCACACATTAAATCCTTTAATCACAATCAAAGGTGTCAAAGTCTGTTTCGGTATGACTTCCTCCGCACCTGTATCATTCTGATCGTCAGACATCACAGCTACCAGTCCATCGCTACCACGATGTGCACGATTGAACATGATGCGTTTTTGTGACGGAGCATCGACGTCTCCTGTTGTTTCTTTATGATGGTTACCATTCTCGAATGTCGAATTCACATTGTTTCCCCCTTCAATCACTACCTCCACAGGTTCATTATCATTATCCTCCTCTTCGACTTTTTGTGATTCGGCCATCAACTGATCAAGCTCATCAAGAGCCTGCGGCGTATACTTTACGTCAAACAACTCACTGATAAGTCTACGCGTTGGTAGTCGATATTGATAGGACGAGAGCATTTGGCAGGCTTTCAAGTATGTGTTTAAGCGCGTGAATATTTCGGGATGTTGGTTTCTTATTCTTTTTGTTATAATTATACGAATAAAGAATTAAATTAATTGTTTTATGAGGTGCTGTTTACTTAACCTTAACGTGACAAATTGCTTTCTAAATAAAAGGTTGCATACTTTTGTAAACTCTTACATCCCTTATTAGATAATATCCGATTAGTCAAATTCGTTAACGCGCGTAATAGGTCGCGTTCTACTGGACTACTGGGCATTAATGGTCGATTTGATGTAGCAGAGAGAGAGCCGTTGTATGTCCATTTTGGAAACTGGGGATATTAATTAAAAACATCATTATTGTTGATTAAAAATAGAATAAAATGATAAAGGTGACAATTACCGAAAGAAATTCCTGCGGATCCGTAGGAACACTCAACCCCGTCCCAATTCCAGTATCAGCATCATAAACACACTCCCAACCAAGTTCTTCGAGGATTTCGACGCCTTGGGCTGTTTTTGCGATTAAGCCTAGAACAAAAAAACATGTCCTTAAGAAAATAATGATAAAGTAATAATTAATATTTTCTAATTATGATATTCTTTTAGAATGACCAAAAGAAAATAATTTAGTTAATTAAAAATTAATTATAATCACCCTTTTAACGAAAGGACTTCGGATTCTTGTGCAATTTTAACTATATCCTTAATAATGTCTTCTTCCTCCAAGAACGGCAGTCCGCTTTTGGATGCACCAATGTTACCCTATTTCATGTAAAAATAATGTAAATAATTTATATATTCCTCGAGAAAACCAACAGATTTACAAGCAATGTAATATGCTAATACATACCAACGCCCAAAGAACAGACTTCAATTTAGAAATAGCCAACTGATCCGACCGTTCCATCCCATACTCTTTTACGAACCGAGCAAATTCACGAAAATGTCCCGATTCGCGTAATTGTTGGCATCCTTCTTCTGTTTTTGCTAGTTCGCCATAAAAGTGTGGCGGGGTCGTGCCGTCGAATGTTTGCCTATAAATAAAAGCGATCCATCAATATTTTGGTATAATATTTTAAAATATTAAATTTTGATACTCGAGGCTACTTACATTCTTATATCGTCCTCCTCAACTTTGCCGTTATCACCGTCGAGTTTTAGTGCAGTAGCTAACAAAACTTCAAGTTGTGTGACATAATACTGGTTTCGACTCTATTTTCAGAATTCACACGATTGATTATTTATGATGCCAATGATTTCAATGTCCTAGACGAAAGAAAAATCACCTGAAACCAATCGTCCATCTCCCGTTCCACATAATCAAACTCTGAAAGATACCGAAACCCAATCGACGTCGACAAAAACCTCAGAAGTAACGGATTTCCGACTTCGCCTAAGTGGTCGAGGCTCGGTCGTAGTTTTACGAGCAATTCGAGATTTTCTTTGTGTTTACATATTTCTTCGAGTACTCTGACCGCCATTTCGCACACTTCCTCCATTGCGGGGTCGTAGAGCTAGGAAATCGATGATAATTCATATCGTTTGTTAAATTCAAATTCGTTGAAAGCAAAGATCGTTGAATGAATGTAATGATAGTACGGTACCTGTGTAATTAACAATCGAATTCCCCAATCACTGAACTTTTTGGTGGAACTGCGTAAAATAATTCCGAGATGTTTGGTGGCATATAAACGCATTTGCTTCAAGGGTTTTCACAAACACAAAAAGCAAAGTAAGAAACCAAAATTTATCCATAATCAATATGACTTATATTCTTCTTACTTTTGAATTACCTTATACCCAGAAGTCATGACTTTCGACAGTATAATACGCGGATGACCATCTCTACCAAAAAAATTTTTCTAAGTTTAGCAAAATAAAAGTTTCTAAAAAATATATAGAACCAAAATCTTGTCGAAAAAATTGTATCACCTACAGGGTATAATCCAAATTTGTAATAATAGTCTTTATCAAGTCCTCGCGACTTCTTAGTTCGCTTAAATGATAGAATGTATTGAAAATCTTGAATTTTTCTAGTAACCTAACGGAGAAAGTAAGTTAAGATAATGAATCAGATCTTTGATAAGAGCATATCGTAATCTCAAAACCATAATAATGAGTTTATCTTCGATAGGAGGGACGCAAACACAGACAGACACATTGAAAAACACACCTAACCCCTTCTTTAGACTTGCTGAGGACACCTAACATGGTAAAGTATCCAGAGGTAAGTGTATTTTCTATTCGTTCTTTAGAAAATAATGGTTCCGATTCCACGGTGCCGTTGATCTATGATTCATCCATCCGCCGTCTTTTTTAATAATTTATCAAAATATTTAACGAAATCAAAAAGAAAACAATGAACATACAGGGTCAAGTTGTGTTAATCCATCGGCTATCTGCCTCAAGAATTTATTGCTTTCCAGAAATTTCAGGCCGTCTGTATTGGCCAATAGTGTTGTAACAAGCGTACAACCCAGCCGTACATAACGTTGTGTTTCCTATTCAAACAAGTAAATTCTCAATTTAAAAAAATCGACTTTGTCAAAAGAAAATGATGCAACTGCCAAAATAAATTACCATCGTTTTCTTTATATTCGCAAACCTATAACTATTTGGACGAAAGAACCCAATTAACCGCTTCAAGAACTTTGACCTTATAGCATCCTCTAATCTCCGTGGATTAAGCAACGGTCCCTGCAACAACTCCATCAAAGTCTCCCATTTCCACTGAGTATAATCCTTCGCCGTCAACACCTACATTATATTTTTTGGCAAAAAATTTATTCCATTTTCTAGTGTCAACATACATCATCTATACGCAACAATTTTCGGCAGTAATATTTCTTACACAATGTGTTATAGTAATAGTAGCAGAACAAACTTGTAGTAGTAGTAGTATAATCAAACGAAACCTGGGTTTCCAAGAGCATGTTTCGGAAATGGACGTCGTCAATTTGTATGCCCATTTTTATTTTCACATTCTCTACTTGTCGTGCACTGCGTCTGCGACGATCTTCGAGAGCTGTTGCGGCAGCACCGATTGCCCCGAGTTCAGAGATACCGTCGTTGGATTGTAATCCGATTCGTATACGGTTTAGGTTGTCGATGTGAGAGAGAGCCGCCGTGGCGTTATGGCGGACTACTTCGTTCTCAAATTTCATTGCGAGGTTGAAAAGCTTTGGAAGAGACTTTTTTATATCATTCATAAATAAAATATAAGTGTTGTAGTTTTTTTGATCTAATAACGAAGAAAATTAATTTCTCACTTGTATTTTTATAGAGCGAGATACTGAGAGCAATCGATTTGACAGCTGCAGAATTTCGCCTATTAAAAGAGTAGCTTTTCGCGCAACCTGTTGATTTTTATCCTCAATTATTTCAATCAACGCCTAAAACAATTAGATTATATTATTATAGGCATCAGATTATTATAATTATACAAATACGTATAATGTACATACCTCAAGTAAACCCGAATCAATAAAAATCACCAACAATATCACCAAATGATGATCAAGCAGATTAAGCCGATCATTTGAATTTGATGATAATGGTGCTACTACTCCGTCATAGTCGTAGTTGTTATCGTTATGCATAATATTGTTTTCTTCTTCAGGAGGCGGCTGACCATATACTGTACCATATAAAAAAGGCGCGTCCAGAACCCGAAAAGCGTGCCCGGAATGAAAGTCAACAATCAGAACAAGTAAAGGACCAACCAATCAACATCAAATGTTCAATAAATGAAAAAGTCAATATTTATAATTTGCTATATGTATTATATATTTATTAAAATTCGCATACAGGTTATCCGCCTCCCGGATAAAAAAATTGGATACCATTTTGGCGGTTTTATTCGAAAAATGTTAAATAACATATCTAGTATGGAATCCTGTGATAATGATAAATGTTATGATTAGTAAAGTACTTTTCCGTATTAACTACCTGTTCAAAAAATAACAAGAAAATAAAAATTATCGACACCAGCCCTCGACTCGTCAGTTGTGATCCTTAACGACTCAACAATCGATCTGATAGCTTGCTTATTATCCATAGATAAATAAATGATCCCGGTCCACGATTTAAGGAGGATTGAAATTGCCCGGGAGCTGGCTTTTATTTGTTGATCCGATTTTGGGGTCTTGCTACAAATATCAGTGAATCCGGAAAGAACAATCTATAAATTTTTTTAGTTTCTAGTTACAAATTGATCAAGCAATAATAAAAGTTGAAATGAGTGATGACGATAATTAAACCTCTAAATCTACTCCTGGACGAATACATTTTCTTGATTCCGGTGTATCGACGACATATAGTATCGCTAACACCAGATATTCTGAAAGTTCTAAAGGTCCGTCCACTAGAGACTGCAACAGTATTCGCATTCCTCCGCACTGTGTTACTAATTTAGGATCTCGAATAACTAAAAAATTTCCAGCAAAAAATCCGTTTAAGAAAGTAATTAAATTATATATATAAGGGATCATGAATTATGTGGACTACTGATTTCTTTAACCATAGTCACTGTTGCTACCAACCGATCAACAAATAACTCACCCATCTCAGCTAATGTCATCACACAAATATTCCGTAACTTCTCGTCCGCTTGTTCGGCTATTGACACAACAGTGCGCATCACTCCTAACGGTATATATTTCGTGCCATCTGGCACATCAGTAAAAGATCTTATAAGTTTTAATACCTGTGCGCGTTCATCGTTAAAATTTCGTGGATCTTTTGCTAAAGACCTGCATTTTCATAGTATAATAGAGAAGACAATTCATTATTTTTATTACAATGATAATAAGAATAAGCCAATTTCAACAATATACAATCAATAAGAAACCTCATAATAAATATATCATAGTGTAGATTTATAACTTTCTCTACCCTGCTCGCGTCAACAACCAAGTATCGTAGTGCTCGGTATCCTGCCAAACGTACTTCTTTAACAGGATCTGATACACAAAATCTTAGGCTATTTTATGACGTATGTATAGAACAAGAATTTTTGATTAAAAAATGAACTCGAATTACAAAAAATGTACAATTGAAAATTAAAAATGTGTACGGACCCTCGTAATAGAGGTTCCGGTGGATATGTATATTTTATTCTTTCATGATTCTTAATTAATCTTATTAAACTGCCTAGCTTTTCAACGCGAGCTGTTGATTCCTCGGATCGATTCTGGATACATGATATTACGTCATCAATAATTTCTGCTGGTGTTTTTGTTGTATCTAAAAATAATATAACACGTCCTATATTGTTGTCCATTCTTTGTCATACAATCATGAAACAAATCGAACTGTATTATTTATTTTCATGCCTTCGTCTCGTTCAGACTCGGACTCTATTTGTAATGTCAGGTTCCTCCTGCTACGCATTAACGCATGTTCTGTATTATCTCGGCGTCGTCTATTATGCGGCCTTATTGGCTCTGAACCTTTTTAGTAGATGAAAATATTGTAGCTATATGAGAATTAATAGTGTTTAAAACAATCATTACTTTTTAAATACCTATTTTCCTTTGTGATATAGGAGTCTCGACACTCATTTTAATTTGGTTTATTTACAAAGCTTGGGTATTATAAAAAGGATCAATCTAATTGTAACAACTTCAATATTAACTAATCACATATCCAGAATCTTAACTCAGGTCCTAATTAGCCGTAGAAAATGATGGCAAAAAATTTCCAGATCCGACAAGATTTTAATATTATACATTAATAATTTTAAGAGGAATATCGGATGGTCGGCATCGGGATCGGAGATCACGGGATCTGGAAATTTTTTTGCCATCACTTTTAAAGTATCCAATACTGCGCCATAGCACCAATTTTGAAATTGCGAATCTTATGATGTAATAACTATTTTGACCAATCAGAATTATTAATAATTTAAGTTATTAAAATAATATTATAATAGTACTGATTTAAATTATAATTTAATTAAATTATAAAATGTAATAAAATCACATATAAAATTAATATATCTTTGTCAAATTTTTAAATTATTATAAAAATAAGAAACTTTTGAATTATTATAACTTTTTGAAAATAAAATAAAATAAAAAATTCTCTTATAAAATTGTAGTTTTATCAAAAAGTTATTAATCTATAAGAGAAATAACAGATATTAGCTAATATTTATTTTCTTTTAGAATAATAACTAATATTTGTTACTTTTCTAAACAAGTTTTTTCTATAACTATTGATTATTAAATTATAATATTTTATATAAACAGATTAAAATTAAATATTTTATATTATCTAATATTATATTAAGATTTTTTTAATATTCTAATCATAATAAAAAAGTATTAGATTTAAAGATAATGCAGTAATTATTGCAATGTAATAATAAATAAAGCATCATCTAGTTGTAACTAATTGCAATTTATAAAATTTTGAAATTGTAACATGTTATAATAAATAACAAATAAGTATTACATATTTGTTGCATCATCTTTAGTTAAATTATATTATATTCAGAAAAATTTCATGATATAAAGATTATAAAGATATATTATTACTAATTTAATATAATAACTATATGAATAAAGATATAATTAAACAAAATTAATTATAATAATATTTAATTATATACAATATTCTATTATTTAGTTAATAAATTCTCTTTCTTTCTATTTTTTTCTTTTTCTTTCTTAATATTTCTTAATTATACAATTTTTTATTATTTTTTATATTTATTTAATTTTTATTATATAAACAATAAGAATAATTATCAAAATAATATTATTTAATTAAATAATTTACCAAAATTAACTTGCTAAAATTAAATTCAAAATTATTTTGACTTATTTTATTAGTAGCCAAAATTGTTTTCTAAAATTATTTGGATTTTATAAATTAAAACAAGTATTTCTAGATAATTTTTAAGTATTTATTAATATAAACAACATAGCAAAACTGAATTATTTGCCAAAATACCATTTTTTCCAAAAAAATAATTTAGAAAATCATCTTTAATAAACAAATTTTTTATTTTTTTTGAAATTATAATAAATTATATATTTAAAAAGTATATATTTATAAAAAATAAAATATATAAGCTCTTATAAGTTAAAATTTAGTTATATTATATATTTAGAAAAATATACACTTATAGAGTGTGCATTTAAAAAAATATATATTTTTTATTTTTATTATTAATATTTTAGTATAGAATAATATTATTAATTATAATATAATTAGTTTTTTGTATAATTAGTAAAGAAAAACTAATAATTTTATAATATTAATATAGATTTATTATATCATACTGTATTATTTTTATTTATTCAAAAATTGTTGAAATTAATGAATTAATAAAGTAATATAACAGTGAAAGAACAAAGACTAAATGAATTATAATTAATAGAGTTTACTAAAGGTTCTAAAGATTTTCTGTGATAGCTTGTATGCAAACTAACTAAATATTATCAATAAAGAATAGAAATAAATAGAAAAATAAAGTAAAAAAAATAGAAAACAAAGATAAAAAAGATAAATAAAATGGATAATAAAGATAAAAAAATAGATAAGATAGAAAATAATAATTATATAATTATTAAATAATTAATATATATAAATAATTTGTTATTTTATTACTATTTTTGAAGATTTTTATA